CTCCATCGGCGGGCTTAGCGATGCTTTATGAAGAGTTTCCTCCCTTTCGAAACAGGGGAAAAAACAACCCTCGAAAGAGCAGTTCAGATATTCAAAGCAAATTATCATTGGCACAATCTGCTGCATGTATTGGCAGAAAGGGAGTTTTGAAATATGCTCGTGGACCTTGTCCCAACCCATTTCCTTTTTTTCCTTAATTTTTATCGCGATGTACTCCTTGAGAATCATCTCACGAAGCTCTGGAGGGAGGCTTTGAATGGCCACGGAAAGTTGGCAGCATTCTTTCCGGCCCCGCATCAGCCACCCGCACTTGTTTGGCGCTCGAGACATCGCGGCTCGGGCGTATAACAGCGGGCTCGCTTGTTTCCAATTACCGTGGGAGCAGCCCCACACCCCTAGTTGTTAGTAGTATATAGGGAGTCACACAAATACTTTTTCAAAGAGGGAGCTAATTTCGCTTTTCGCAACCACCAGGTTCAACCGGCCCGAGCTTGTGAGGGCCGGACTTGACGGTGGTGGTTGCGAAACGGTGAAATAAGGCTCCCTCTGCGAAAAAGTATTTGTGTGACTCCCTATATACTACTCCCTCTCCTTCCCCGTTGTTGTAAGTAGTATATAGGGATTATGAATACTGTTTCAAAGAGGGACTCAGCATTTCCCCGTTTTGCAACCCCCCAGGTTCAACCGAAGCGAGCATGCGAGCTTCGGACTTAAAGCTGGGGGTTGCAAAACGGGGAAATACTCCTCCCTCCGCGAAACGGTATTCATTAAACTCCCTATATACTACTATATAATTAAAATTTAGTTGATTTTTATCTCGTTCCGAAAACTGCCCTTTTCGCGCTCGTCGAGGGGCACACATGAACACTCACAAAAATACGCCACAGGAAACGCAAAATACCTCTCGGATATTGTTCACTAGCTTGGAAGTTGGAGGGAAAATTTAAAAGTGAGTTTGGATATGGTGTTGTAGCTGACAGTAGGAAAGCCGGAACTTGACCGATGCGGGAATTCGAAATAGCCCTTTTTACGGTAACGTTTCCCATCTGCATTACAGTGTAATCCGACATGTGGGTGAGGCCTCACATACATGTTCGATTATATTGTCAGACAATTGAGAAACGTTAACCTTGAAAACAGCTATTAAATTATCACCTATATAATCACCTATGGCCGCCTACTTGCTTCTAAATGGTTCGCTCCCAGATGATATCCAACCCCAGAACTGCTCAAAATAAAGTAAGAAAATTCCGCGAAACATAGCCCGTTCCTATATGGGCCGAATATGTTTATTTTTGTTTTTGCTAAGCCTCGAGTGCCCCGGGAATGATACAGTATTTCTTAGCCTACGTCAAAGTTTATTTTATTTTCATCATGTGCTATGTATAGTCAATGATTTTGCCTGTTAAAAGGCGAAAACGAAAACGACCGACTCGCTTTAAGATAATTTATTTTTACAACAGTACAGTTATAATTCAAGTGGAAGCTTAGCTTCATCCAAATCAGTGTCTTTTATTTTCACGACCTTACTGCTTGAACGTGCTACGTTTATCACTTCAAGCCCATATGCATTCGTCATGGAACAATCGTCAAATAAAGGAGTGACTTGACACCTTTTTTAGTTGTCTTTAAGTTAACGCTAAGGTGTCACACGGTTGAGGATTAGGCCTGATTTTTTTCTTATTTAAATATTTTGATATGGACTCGTTACACGCGTGGGTGCTAATGCCATTACATGACGCACAACGTTTGCACGTGCGGAGCTGCTGTGAAAACAAAGAGTGCAAACGGTGATAAAAAGTTCAATTTAGTGCTAACTGTCTGATTTGCCCAGCCAACTAAAACGGAAAAAACGTTATCCAGTACAAAGACATCAGTCGCAGTTGGATAAACATCACTTCGTTGAAGTCTGGTACTTGTTTGGTAAGGTGCACTGCTGTCTGGGAGATCTCGGAGCGGTATTTGCAATTGAGCACATAAATCGGGGATTGAAATTGCTGCAACTAACCAAACGAAGATATCATTCTGTTTGAAGGTAAGTCTTTTACATAAGCGAGTAGTAATATATATGAGCAAATAGTATGTAGGCTGGGATGAAATGATATAAAAAGAGCTCGCTAATTCTTTCAAGGCATGTATTATTTTTATACCTGTTAAGTCGATAAAAGGCAGAATTTAATCCCAACAAAAGCGGCTATAGAGCTAGGTTCAGCATTTTAAATTCAACCTTGTCAGTGAGATCAAATTGGTGTAAACGTTTTATCATTAAGGCAAACATAAAAAGACTTCTCTCCTTGTTTTATTCAGTTCTATTTGATCGACCATGGTTGCGTTTTGTTCAAACATTTTGCGCCGCAAATTTTAATGTTTGATTGTTATGCTCTATGTTTTACATTATCGTCGCACGGCAAAGTGGTTGTTGAAAAAGTTTGATCGTTTAGCTCAGTTACGATTTAAAATAAAATTTGCTGTTATTCCCTGGGGAGCAGGGTGGCCAGTTCGGAGAGTGCTCGCCTCCCACCCGTTGTACCGGGTTCTATTCCGTCCCGATGTCATACGTGGGTTGAGTTTTTGGTTGGTTCTCGTCTTGCTCCGAGGGTTTTTCTCCGGGTTCTCCAATTTTCCTCCCTCCATAAAAACCAACATTCCAAATTCCAATTCGACCAGGGTCCGTTTCTCGAAAGGCCCGGAAACATTTAGGGCCCGCACAGCCATTTTTACTTAAGGTGGCCGAACACAGCTTTCAAGTGCCTATGCCTAATTCACCATTACTTTTAAACTATTTATGCTTTGGCGCCCAGTTTTTGCAAGAGTCAAATTTAACCACATAAGGGTTTATTCTCGCATTTTAGGTAAGGTGTGTGCCGTTGCCATGGCGACGGGGCTGGTTAAAAGGCTTAAAAAATGGTTCAGTCGTTAGATTTTTTTCATCATTTGCCCACTACGAATTGACACTAAATCCCTTCTGTCAACACTGTTGTAATGAAATTTTGACATAACGATTTTCGTAATTCGCAGTAAATTGTTTTCACTGCATGTTCTGTATTATTAAAAATTCCCAATGTCAAAATTCAGTTTATTTGTGATAGATCATTTACGTGTTTTCCGAACTATTTTTTTGCCAAATATCTTGAAATTCTATCGACTGGATTGTTAGAAATTGGCAAATTTCTGCTAAAGCAATCGGTCTCAATTTTTCGAGCATCTGCGCATACGCTGCATTTAACTGGGTTCTTTCGGTAACAATGAAAAAGCTGAGAAATGCTGGGTTCTTTGCATCCTTAGCTTTTCTAACATATCTTTGTAATAAAAAACTAAAGCCATCAATTCACTGCGTTCAATAATAGAGAAAAATAGCACAGATAGTGCGGGTGTTGAGTAAATAAAATGATCGCTCTATTGACGGCGTGTTTGTTTTTGCAATCCTTGTGCGCGCGCTGAATTGCATCAGCGAAAGCGCGCGCGAAAACTGTGTTCGGCCACCTTAATCTGTATCTAAAAACGTACCCAAAGGTGTAAGCCCCTGAAACTTCTTCTATGAAGGGAACCTCTGTTCATATTTAGTATATGTGAATAAAACAGCTCTGTAATCATATAGGGTTTGAGATTTTGTAACGGCTTCTCGGGTGCGAAAACGTTTCGGGATCTTCAAGGGAAGGCGCCGGGATGGAGGACCCTCATGAAAACCAGTCAAGGCTGACGGGGCGTCTTCTCTAAATATTGTAATTGACTCTATTTGTTTAGGTGTGTTATTGGTTTTAGATAATCTTTTATTACTTGAAGCTATATGTTGAACAACACGTTTCTGCCGAAAAGAAGCGTTTCTTTGTCGGGTTAATTTGTTCATGGAATATCACAACGTAGCCATTTCTAGATGCATCGCATGTATCGGCAAGAACAACCTGTTCAGGCGTCAGTTTAGTTTAGTCTTTCAGTCTGCGTTATAGTTGTTCAAATTTCATTTTCCTTAATTTTCGTTTATTCCAACTTTAGCAATTCCGAGTCTGTGTAAAATCAATTGACCAGATAACGTGGAGGATGGTAAAATGCGGATGATAAGATGCGGTTGAAAGAAATTTTTTCTTCAAAACTATATGTCGGGCAATTCTCACAGAATTGAGGCCTGAGGAAGTCCGATAATTTTTTTCTTCATTAATTACAAAACATTTCTACAGCACCTCTGGATCCAAAGAGAAAAACAAAATCATTAAGGAAAAGGTCTTTCATCAAAGAAAAAAAGAGTCTAATTTTTACTTATTTCAAGTGCCTCGAGGACAGAAGAAAAACGAATTATCAGGAAAAAAAACAGTAGAATCGCAACTGGTCGACGCGGTTTGTTGGTGCGTAACGCGGGTATGCGCTATATTGGACCCGTTAAAAGCCGAAGGAGACCATCAAAATTAAATAGACTCTGATTTATGCCGGGGTGGCGTTTTCTGTTTGATGATTCCTCCAAAACGATAGTTAATGAATGGTGCCAGTCAGTCAAGCTTAGACCTCGGCAAACTCCGTGTAGAAACGACCATGTCTCCTTTCATTTCATTCGAGGTTTTTGTTTTTTTTTTCAGAACAAAACGCGAGATGACCTACTTCTGAGATTTACTTCTCTTTCGAATCGGGCAAAGTGATATTATTTTCAGCTGTGTGCTTAAGAGTTCATTCTTTTAAGTCCATGAATCCAAGTGCAACGGCCAGTTGCAGGAGAAGGTAACCAAAATTAGCCCCCTTAGCTAGCCTATATCATTTTCTCTGACTTGCACACGCAAATGGGCGCATTTTCTATTGAGCAATATCATGAATGTGCGATAAAGCTGTTTTAGTATTTCCAAAATCATGCGGAAACTAAATATATCGGTTTAACATTACACTCTTTCTTTTTTACAAAATTATACTTTATAAGAATATGGAGGTTGAAATTCGCGAAAATTTAAAAATATAAACTGTACAAAAATTCTTCCTTCCCTAAACGGCAAAACCAGCCGAAAAAACAAAATAAACAGCATTAGCTTTATGTTCGAGCTAATAATCTTTCTGCAATAAGTTATGTTTGTCATATCAGGTTTTATGGCCTACAATATGGCTCATAAATTACTTCAACGCAATCAAAGTCATGTTAGTTAGGACTAACTTTGTGTCGACATAGTCCACTTGAATTCCTATAATCTCAGAGAATATTCACAATAATATTTTCAGCGTAAAATCGGCAGAAAAATAAGAATGTTCAGTCTGGGCAGGAATAAAAAACAATATTCTCATAAAATAGGGTGTATATATCGTGATCGACCCAATTCTTGTCAATTACTGGCAGATCATTCTGTGGACAAAACTGCGCACGGGATACCACGCAATTAAGACAATCGAATCGGTTCTCTGAGACAAGATCCAGAGACGCGTTACATCCTTTGGAGACGCGAGTGCAATCAGAATACCAACAAATCGGTTGAATCAATCTTCCTAGCAAATCTTTTTTTTTTTTTTTTCTTCAGATAGATATATTCAACATGATGCGGGTGCTGTCAGTTTTCCCATTCATCCTTGCTCTCCAATGTTTTTCCTCAACAATCGGTGAACAAGGCTACACCACGGTTGTTAACAAATGGAACAAGGGCTTCAAAGGAGAGATCAAACTGAAAATGAACAAAGACGTTAGTGAGGCGGGGTGGACTATGAGGCTCTCGTTTCCAGTTCGCACTCCAAACTTGAAAATCTGGGGAGCGAAAATCACTGGACAGGAAAACGACCGGGTCTACACCATGGTAAATATGCCCTGGAACAAAAAACTGTCAACAGGAGACGAGTTACAAATGTTTTTTTTAGCAGAAAAGACTACGGATGCAGATGCCCCCATAGGGACCGTGAATTTTGAGCGCGGAGCGACTCCCACGGGGCAACCACCAACGCCTGGCCCCAGTTCTCCTAGACCCACGACAGGGCGTCGCAATTCCTCTCCAGGCCCTAGTTGCACTCCAAACACCAATTGCCCCATTTCTACTCGACCCCCGAAGACCACTAGCACTAAACGCCCGCGCCCGACTTCAAAACCAACAATAGGCGTACCGCTAAAGCTCAGTGGGTACAACTATGGTGAAGTGCTGAAGTTGTCCATTCTGTTTTATGAAGCTCAGCGATCTGGAAAGCTTCCGAAAAACAACCGCGTCCCGTGGAGAAAGGATTCGGCACTAAAAGACGGCAAACAGATTGGTGTAGATTTAACTGGAGGATGGTATGACGCGGGCGATTACGTCAAGTTTGGCTTTCCAATGGCTTCCTCTGTCACCGTGCTAGCCTGGGGTCTATTGAAATACAAGAAGGCCTACATAGCCGCTGGTCAGTACGGTCACATGTTAAATAGTATCGAGTGGGCCACGGACTACTTCATAAAGGCGCATACTAAAAGATATGAATTTTATGGCCAGGTTAGTGTATTAACCTAATGCCCAAAAATTTTTATATTTCAACCACTTCACGCCAACCAATTCGGTTTTGTAACTCGCTTTGGCATTCAAGTTCGCATTTTTGGTTAATTGTTTCCTCTTTGTTATCTTTATAAGTTTGTCATTTTCGATCCTGTCCATCACGCGCTCAAGACTTTGTTTATGTACTTGTACTTGTGAATTAACGAAAGAGAGCTGAATATGTATTTAACATAAAGTAGCAAGAGTGATATTTTATTTTCCATTTCTATGAACAGTTTTTGATCTATCAAAGTTTTGACCAGCGTCTAAACTATATGTGCAGGTTGGTGATGGAGATATCGATCACGCCTACTGGGGCAGACCAGAGGACATGCCTGATAATATGAAGCGTCCCGCCTGGAAAATCACGCCACAGAAACCGGGATCAGATCTGGCCGCTGAAACTGCGGCAGCCCTGGCTGCATCTTCAATTGCCTTTAAAGCTAACAAAGCAAAGTAAGTAAAGAGCACAAAAGATAACCGGAGTTGCGTCTTCATATTAATTTTAGAGGAATCTTTGTCTTCAAAATTCGCTCTGATGGGATCTACAAAAATTTCAATTCTGAATATTGAATCTGCATGACACGAATGATTATCCCAATTAATTTGACTCCGATTTATTACTGTGTGGCACTAAATTATGGAGCGAGCCATATTTTTAGCACGTGCTCTCAATGAAAAGAATTCATTTACGCTGTTGACACTGTATAACTCCTGGTAGAAGTAAAAACAAAGAACATTACAGTGCAGTTATTCTTATAGATATTTAAATAAATTATTGGTTCAA